CAGCCGGCTGTCTACCAGCACCCCCAGGTCCTTTTCAGCCACACAGCTTTCCAGCCACAATTGAAATTCTCTTTGCTTTAGCAGTTGTACTTTGTTTAGGTGAAGGATCACCTGCACCGTCTGAACTTCAGCCTCTGTTTTTTGGCGTAGCTGCACGGCGACAGTTACCTGTTAGTAATGGATCGTGCTCCCGGCCGGTTTTCGGCTGATCAGCCGGTCCGGTAGCGTAGCCCAGGCAGCCGAGCGTCTCTGCCTGGGGAATCGCCCGATTCCCCCGCTACTCTGAGGAAGTAAGAGATGCCAGTTCTTCATTAGGCTGTTGTGCTTCACTTTGAATTCACAGTTTTCAAGTTTACCAATATGCCTTTTTATAAAAGTGGCAGTTTTGCCTGTCTCTGGGTTTTTGGCTCATGCTCTCTCTATGTGTGTATGTTAAAAAAGCCTTGAATCAAGAAAAGGTTCTAAATGTTTGGCAAACTTAGCATGCTTTCTGTTAGTTTGCCATGGTGTTTATGATGCTTTTGGTGCTGTTTTATGCAGAACTCCTTTCAACGTTGCCTTTTGTTAAAAGGCACTTGTTTATTCCCTGATTCCGTATACTCTTTTTTTTTCCTTCAACATGAAGATCTAGGAGACTCTGTTTTACTATGAAATAAGTTATCTACATTTCCTGTTGGATTTCTACTTTTATAATAAAAATTAAATCCTGCATGTACAAGTACTGTTTAAAATGCATGAATTTAAAATAGTTGTGCAAGAACCGTTTAAATTACCTGGTCTAGATTCAGAACATAATGTACTTTGATCTTGATTCTTTTCAGACTATGAGAAGACAAAGAAATGAAGTTGTTGTGGAGTTGAGAAAGGTGAGATGACCTAGCATTATTCTTACCAAATGGGATTTGGCTATGTTGGTATTTTAGTAAAATTTAAGTGGTTTTGTTAAAGGCTTAAAAAAAAAAAAAAAGACCCTGTTGTGTGTTCTTTTTTGTAGTCCACCAAGAACACCATTGTTAAAATATCTTTTTGTCTTTACTAATTCTGTGAAGGTACTTTGGTTTAGAAGGAAGTTCTAAAGTTAACCATACCTGGTACTAGAAGTTCCATAATTTTTGTCCTGAAAAAACGAGTTTCACTTGTAATTTATTGAAGAAAATAATCCTTACTTTTCCAGCTAGGTTTTTAATTTTAAAAATTTATAAAAAGTTCACATTTTCTTTTGAAAATCAGATGTTCCTGCTAACGTGTAAACAGAAAGCTATTGTCTTTCCCAAAAGAGTAGTTCAACGCACAAGTAAGAGTGGAAGAGTATATGTGTGAAGATAACGCTGTTTAGAATTGTTGGAAAACCAGCTCTTGAGAAAAGTAATCATAACTTGAATTATTTTACTTCTGGGATGAACAGAAAACTACCCTCTGGGAATTGCCTTGTCTTGTTATAAGTAATGACAAATAGGTTGTAATGTCAGTGTTGATGGATGTGTTCACATGCAAATTCCAGCAAAAGTAGTTACTGCTGTAGATGAAGTTGAATGGAGGATTTTTCTAGGAAGAAGTGATTTCCAAAATGTGCTTCTCTGTGCAGCCCTTTCTGACTTCTTGAATGTTGGAAAGTCTAACAGTATCAATGAAAGCGTGTTTATGATGCTTGTTTAAAACAGAAGCTTCTATTCCTTTCTTAACACCCCGTAAATCAAAGTTTTAAAGGTATTGCATAATTTTTCTCTTTAAGAACAAAAGAGATGAGCATCTTCTAAAGAGGAGAAATGTTCCCCATGAAGATATCTGTGAAGATTCTGATATAGATGGTGACTTTAGAGTGGTAAGAATTAACTTAACTCTCAAGCATGTCTTCTTTTTTTTAATGTACTTAAAAGACATTTCTAATTTCTAACTGCTTTTGTCTCTTTTCTAGCAAAATACTTCTTTGGAGGCAATAGTACAGGTAAAAAAAAAATTAATTGTTTGAACATTCTTCAAGTCATGGTGATAAATATGTGAAAAGTCTAAATTCTCTTTTTATTTTAGAATGCTTCAAGTGACAACCAGGGTATACAGTTAAGTGCTGTGCAGGCTGCAAGGTAAACACCCTTTTCTCAAATATACTATTTTTATTCTTATTTTATCATGCTCTTAAGTTCAGGAAATGTGTTCTAGCTTAACTAGAAAAAGTGTATCATTTGCTGTTTTTTTTAGAAAAGAAAACTTGATAAATAGAACTTTACAAAAAAGATCAAAATACCTAGGTCTTTGAAGTAGTCAGGATTTTCATTATGTATAAATAAATACTAGGATTTATCTTAGTGCAATACTTGATGCCTCTCACAAGTAGAGTAAAATACATAGTTAGCAGGACTATGAAGTCTTTAGCTTTAAATACAGAAAGAAGTGGCATAATCCCTTTTCTAATTTTGTTATGGATTAGGCCACTAAAACCACTTCTCGCTTTAAGAGGAATTCTGTGTAGTTGTATGTATTCAAGAAGTGATCCTAAAATACTCTTATGAACTTTGCTTGCATAAATTGAGTATTTAACTGCTATTTCATGAACTACTGGGTTTTTTTTGTTGTAGCAGAAAGCTACAACTTTGTATTTGTTTACTCTCTCTGGTTGAGGGGGTTGATTGAAGTGCAAGGCAAGACTTCCAGGTCAAAGGGAAGTCGGGTGAATTGGAAGTCACTTTGACTTTTGGGAGTTAATGGATTTGAAACCGACAGGGGAAAGAACAGTTTCTGTGCCCATTTCCACTGAGCAACTTGTCTTCATTAAAAAGTTTCAGCAACTCCAGGTAGCATCATGTAGAACAATGTTATTTACTATAGCTGATCTAAACCAGGTTGGACTAAAGTACACTGAATTAAGCCTGATTTGAAATGGGAATGTCCATGTGAATAGGCTGGTACATGGAGAGATGCCTATGTATAATCTCTCTTCCCACTGCTAGTAAAAGTTTGGTGTGGCAGCCCAAGTTGTCCCCTCCAAGAATCTTCCTTCATTCTCCTTAATTCCTTTGCTGCAGAAAGGTGAAGCTGAAGGGATTAAAAATTGAAACAAACTTGTACGCTTTGTTCTTTGCTGTAGTACTTTGTGAATCCTTGCTCTCTGACATTATATCCTTAGTAAAGAAGAAACAAGGTTCTGCATTTCCCATCAAAGCAGCCTGGTGCTATTTATCACCCTTGTTGGGTGGAGGAGGAAGAAGCTGCAGGAGGGTGTAACTGAGTAACTCCAGTGATATTTGTTTTACTGTCTGGTAGTAAACTTCAAAAGTAGTCAGAGAAAACATGGCAACTGAAATGGGCAACAGATGTAATGGCTTCAGTTTTTCAATACTTCAGTAACTCCAATTTTGGAGACTAGTTATTCTCACTTAAAGCGGAGAAAACAAATCCTGCTTCGTCTTTGAGCGTATGAGACAGACACTGGGGAAAAAACTCCCGGCCTAGAAGTTAGTGCAGCACTGGAACAGTTTGTCCAGGGAGCTTGTTGGATCTCTGTGCTTGGAGGTTTCTGAAACTCAACTACAGGAAGCCATTACTGACCTGATGTAGCGTCAGCAGTAATCCCACTTTGAGCGGAAGGTTGGGCTAAACAACCTCCAGAGATCCTTTCCAGTCCGTGACTTCTCCTTCTGTGACTTGTCTGTTAACTCTTGTGTTTTCTCCTTTTCCTAAACAGAAAGCTGCTTTCCAGTGATCGCAATCCACCAATTGACGATCTAATAAAATCAGGAATATTACCTATTTTAGTGCACTGTCTTGAAAGAGATGACAAGTGAGTATTTCTAAACCTCAAAATGTTTAATTGTTGCAAAAATTCTTGGTATTTAGCTAATGTGCCTATAGTATCTGATTTGAAAACTCATGTTACAATCTTGGTTTTTTTTTTCTTTCTTTGCAGTCCTTCTTTACAGTTTGAAGCTGCATGGGCTTTGACAAACATTGCCTCTGGAACCTCTGAACAAACACAGGCTGTAGTTCAATCTAGTAAGTCCACCAGTAGTATTTGGTCACTGATAAAACATGCGCTGTAGCTTCCACAAAAATAAGATGATGTGAATGATACCGTAAAGAGCATCCACACTCCTCTTTCTCTCAGCATGTTCACCAATCCACATCTTAGGGTTGGTCCTTTCATGCGATAGCCAGGATGGTTGAAATTGAGTTATCAATCACAGGCACGTCGCTGAAGGACCTGCCCATGAAGTCTCCTGCCAGATGTTCTACCTCTTCTCTGGCAAGCAGCATCAATTGAAGCGCACATCTGCTTTTGTTCTTCATTTTCTCAGGTTTTAAATTCAGTTGGGTTTCCTCATGGTGAGTAATCTCTTCTGGAAACTCACACTATTTTAGCAGAGTTGATACCTGCTGGTTTCCAGCTTTCAAACTCAAAAAAAAAAAAAAAAAAAAAAACCCACAAACCCAAAACTGACCAAACAACAAAAATGAAACAAAACCAAACAAAAAAAAACCCATAAAAAAACTCCCATGGAGGGGATTTCTATCTTACTGTGAAGAGGGAGGAAAATATCTGGACCGAGTCCAGAGAGTGCCTGACATTGAACTCTTCCAAAATCAAGTTGAAGAAAAAACCGCTGTCCTTCATATTCTGAGGAATCTGAAGCATGGAAAGGAATTGTTGTTGGACTTGGAATCTGAGTTGCCAAGCAAAGCAGACTTTCTTCTGTACTCTAACCATGCCCTAAGCTGAAGTAGTACTGTTGGTAAACCAGAACTAAGTAGAAGTGTCCACAGGCTTTTTGAATTGAGTGAATAACACAGCACAGCTTCTTGAGACCCGTGGAAGAATCAAACATACAGTAAAACAGGTTTTTTGCCTAAAATTTAAGGAAAAAAATCCACAAAACTTCCATTATGTGACATAACCAGTAGCTTTAATGGTTGGAATCAGTGTTGTATTGCAGTGCGTGCTGCTGATACCATTAAACATGCTGTGCTTCCAACAATGAAAAGACACAGAATTATGCTTGATCTTTTTTGTGTGTTTTCCCCCACCACAACCATCATATATTGACTTCTTTTGGAACATATTCGGTATAGTAAGTACAGTTTCTAAGATGTGTGATGGTGTTTAAGTGTTGAAATGTCAATGTTTGTTACGTATCTTTCATAGCTGACTGTTTCACTTCAGTACTCAAAGTAGATTGTTTCTTTTTTGTTGTTAGTGCTAAGCAGTTACAGGCTTCTCACAAACTGTATATTATTTGCTTTATATTTACGAGGAAAAAAATGTATTCATAAGAAAGTTCTTAGCACCATCTTCTCTGCTAAATGGTTGGGTGTGTTTCAAAAATCTTTAACTGGAAAAATAAGTTAATTCTCCACAGCAGATGTGAAGGAATTTAAAGCAGGTGACTTGAGCTTAAAGGATTTTTTTTTTTTAATTGAATGTATGTTTTGATTGCATTGATTGCAAGATCAGTTGCCCTTTGCTTTTACAAACTCTGTGTTAAGGGCTTGTTAACTTTGATGTAGCTTGGATTTGACCATTATAGTATGTATTTCTGCTAATACTATTAACTTCCCTTTTTCCCATCCTCCTCGTCTTCTTCTCCCAGTTGCATCCTGAGTTTTCTTTTGGAAATCTAATTAGCGTATCATCTGTCCCACAACTCTGATATGGAACACTTCTTTTTATTTAAACCTAGCTTATTGATGGATTGAAGATGAGTGCCAGACACAGTAATTATTTCTTTCAGTGATGATCTCTGATTTAGCTAGGTCTGCGCATATGCACTATATTAGCGAATTTAATAGCTATAACATATGAAAGTATGGCTTATTTCTTGTAATGATTTATGTCAATGAAAAAGATGGTCTGTTGTAATCTGTCCAAAAGTACTTATTAATATGCTTGCTGGGGATGTTTTTTCTCCTTGAATACAGGCATTGTAAAATATCTTTATTTAGTAGGAAGTAAGAAATTCGTGGTGATTTGTTATTTCTCTAGCAAAAAGTTTTACATTGAGAAAGAGTCTAAAAATATCAGCCTTTCTTGAAATATGTGATCTAAAGTAAATGAGTGTTTCTTACAAGCTAAACTGTCATTAGCAAATCATGTAAGCAAGCACCTTAGTGCTGGGGATAAAAAAAAAAGGATCATTTATCTAGATGCGGTGCACGTAGAATGTGTTTGAAATGTTGGTTTAGCTTTAGTTCTAAATATTGGGAGCATTCTCCTGTCTAACACCAATGTAGGGTAGAAAAGTAGCTGCCTTGATAACAGTTGTGGAGCTTTGTGTTGCCTTTTGAATTCCTCTCTTACTTCTCAGTACGGTGGCTTTTTTTTTTTTTTTTTTGGCACATAGTAGTAGCATTTGAAACAGTCCCTTCTGCAGTGATCAGTTAGGTTATTCTGGTTAGATAATGGGTCTCGGATGGAGTAGAATCAAAACTTAATGATACAAAAGGAGACTTCACATTGAGGAATGCATCTGTATTAGCTTTCGGGAGACCCAAGATGACTGGATTCGTGGAAACAGCTGCTGTTGCTGTACAGGTGCCTTCATAATGGTTATCAAAAGATACTGAACGCAGAGTTGGAAATGCTAGGGAAAAGTACGGGGTGACTTAGCGCTTAGTAGCACATCTGTACCGCCCGCAGGGGTTCTCGAGGTGCAGTTTACCTTGCGTGTCTGCTTGCGTATGCTCGATCAGCCGGGTTTCATCTTGGTAGAGCCAGAGGTGAAATTGTGCACTAAGGCGTTGCCTGGAGCGCCGCACTGGCGGTGTATGCAGAAGATTCCTCGGTAGTTAGCTTTCTGCACGTGCTAGGACCGGCAGCGGGCACATACTTGCTACCAGTAAAGATGTGATGGGGCATACAGGGTACTGTAGATTGGCAAGATTGAAACAAATTAAACCAGTGTACTTCCCTCTTACTACGTTACCAGTCAGTAACGTCGGTGTGTGCCTACTGACTCTTAAGTTGGCCAATTTGAATGGGTGAGGTTGGTCTTTAACAGTTACTGCTCTGCAGTTGGTTCTGATAGATAACTTAGCCTGGAATTTCTAAATTCACTGAATATAACTAAATTTGGAGTCCTGACAAGCTGCAGTAAACTTGTGAGACTTACAAACAGATTAAATGTCAGGTTATTTTAAGAGTTGCTTTCATAATATTCTCAAGTGCAGTCTCTGTAAGAAAGTGCAACAAAGGAAGAATTGTTACAGTGTGTTTTGTTTCAGCATCACCTGGGAAGTTAGTAAAGTTTTGACCAGTACTTAACCTGGGGAAAATTTTTTTTTGTGCGGTACTGAAATCTTATTTAACAGCTAATGATGTGAACTGTTTTGTCTTTTGAGAGATGTATTTCTTAACAATTGCATGGGATTTTGTATCTTTCAGATGCTGTGCCACTTTTTCTGAGACTGCTGCATTCACCTCATCAAAATGTTTGTGAGCAAGCTGTGTGGGCTTTAGGAAATATCATAGGTTTGTGTTACTGCTGCCACTATTCTAAGTTCCTTTTGGTATTGAATGAATAAACTAGGTAGGATTTTGTGTGTTAGAACTTGGAGATGTTCAACTGTGAGACAAAAGGCAGCTGCCAGACTGGCAATTATGCTGTTTTTAATTTATTCCTGGTTTCTCTATTGTGTATCGGTGGTGTGCACCCAAACCACGTGCCTACACGCTTTCTTTCTGGGTACAGAAAAAGGAATTACTGGCAGACAGACATGCAGATTGTTAAAATAAAAACTGTTTTGCCTTGAGTTCTGAAATTTTGCCTGAGCTCACATACCTTGTGTTAAATTCTAGATAAGTTGTGATCATTTGATCTTTCATTTGATTTTTCCTCTTCTTGTGCAAGCATTAGCTTTGTGGTTTAGAGCCCTGACTATGCTTGTAGCACTTGAGGACTAATATCAGTTCTGACATACTGAGATTTCTACAATCTGATATTGTAGAAATGCCTACTCCTTCTTAAGAAGCAAACCAACAAAATCCACGGTATTGTAGCTGCCTGAAGCTGGTAGTGATCTGTGTGCAGGACAAGTCAGATGCTGCTTTCAAGGCAACTGTAGTGATACCTGGGCAGTGACAGAAGTGTGTTAATTTTTCAGATAGGAAGATGTTTTCAGGCACTTTTCACCTACTCTTGGGATGTTTTAGCGTTGGTTATGAACTTTGTGAAGGGATCTTCAGGAATACATTGGTTTATCAACTATTCTCAGTTGTTTGGCATTGTCTGCCACCCCTTTTCCCTTGCCCACCACCACCCCAGCCTGTACAGCTGCTATAAATTATGGAACATTATTCTGTTAAGAATGTAGCTGTGTTTAATGAGAAGTTCAAAATGAATCAATTAGGCAGGCAGCAACAGGTCCTACTAAAGCTTTCTGTAAGTGTCTTTGGTAGATGTATCTATATAGATATGTATATCTATGCATCTTTCCAAGGCCCATATTCTTTACCTTTGTACGCATTTTAAATAACTGAAGTTTTAAGTGTGCAGAAACTGGACTTTTTGTGAATGGCATGGGATGATCTTTGTAATTCTTCGATGTCTTGAACAGGTGATGGACCCCAGTGTAGAGATTACGTTATTAGTCTTGGAGTAGTGAAACCACTGCTGTCCTTCATCAGCCCATCTATTCCCATAACTTTCTTAAGAAATGTTACTTGGGTCATGGTCAACTTGTGCCGTCACAAAGATCCTCCTCCGCCGATGGAAACCATTCAGGAGGTGACTGAATTACTCACTGTTTGGTGTAACTAAAGCTGAAGTTGAGTATCTGTCTGCCTTAAAAATAACTGTCGGGTGCTTCTTTTCCTCCTTAGATCCTTCCAGCGCTCTGTGTTTTAATTCACCACACAGATGTAAATGTAAGTAACACCACTTAGAGCCAGTTTTGCGTTCTGGTACGGTTTTTCAGCTGAAGTATAAAGCTTGTCATAATTAACTTTTTTCTTTAGTTAAAAAAAAAAAAACCCACAAACCTGTGATGTTCTCTTTCATTATGGCAAACTTATTTTGATACCTTTTTAACTGCTTATTTTTAAGTATCAGTTATGATTTTTGCCTGGTATTTCTCTATCTTTGCAAGTGCTTATTTGCATGTACTTTCCCTATGCTTAAAAATAAAATGCCGTTTCTGTGAACATTCATTTACAGTTAAATACAGGATTTTTTTTGACTAGCACTTAAGTTTGAGGTTGTAATGGAAGTCAGTGTAAATGAAAGAAAAATTAGTAGATGTAACCTCTGAGGGCTTAAATACAAACATTAGGTTATTTTAATAGTGAATTAAATGAGAGACTTTACTGAAATTATGAAATAGCTCAGCTTTTTGCCTAAACATAAGTCAGAATTGTTTAAGATGAGTTCTCTGCTTCCTAGTGAAGTTGTAGCTCGATTTTTCTAAGTTAATGGCAACAGTGCTTTACCAAAATGTTTAAATACATTAACTAAAGTTTGCATAGTAATTATACTATTAATGTCTTGTATATAAGTAGGTGAAATTAAGCTTATTTAAATTTCTTGAAATGGCTGTATTTGTGAATCAGTCAAGAGTTGTCAGCTGAAACAATGCTCAGTTTTTTTGTAAGCTGTCACTTGAAGTGTTCAGATTTACTGCTATTTAAATCGGCTTTTCTGTGTGTGGATACACACAAGTATGCACACTCACAGAGGGAATTCAGTCTTAAGTGCTGCTGCACCAGATGTTAAAAAAAATGTTGAAGCTTTTCTTGAATTTTGTGGTGGAATGCCAAGAAAAAAATACCATGATGCCATATGATGTACAGCTCACTGGTTTAAGAGTGCCAAATGCCCGTAGTTCGGTATTTGCTAGGGCTTTGTCTTCCTTCCAGGGGCAAGTCCTTCATATCTCACATTGACTACCAGTACTTCATGAAAAGAGCAGATATAATTGAACTGCTTTTATTATATCCTTCAGAATTTAAGCTGTAGTTAGCAGTTTAGCTGTTGTTTAGCTGTTTTTTTTGTCTCTGTGTATTCTTTGGAGCTAGAAGAGGTTGAACAGCACTTGTATTTCAGACTTGTGTAGAGTGGAATGTATGAAGTTTGTAAAACAAACGGGTTTTGCTGTATTGCATCAATTCTGGCTTCGCGATGAGAATAGTTTTACATTTTAATGTATATTACTTTTTGTAAGACTTGTGATATTTCTGTAATATTTACAAATAAATGTTTTCACTGTTAGATATTGGTAGATACAGTCTGGGCGCTCTCATATCTAACGGATGCTGGCAATGAACAGATCCAGATGGTGATAGACTCCGGAATAGTCCCTCATTTGGTTCCTCTTCTCAGTCATCAAGAAGTTAAAGTGCAAGTAAGTTTGGAAACTTCAAGGAAGTGTTGCTCAAAATGTAACGCTAGAGAAAGCAGCTGGTTTCTTTTTACAGTTCATGTTGAAGTTTAAAGAGTACTTTTTCCTATGTGGTACAGCATTTGGATAAAACCTTTTGCTGTTCTAACTGTTACTGTTTGAAAGTATGTGCTCAACTAGAAAAACCTTTGATAAAAAGAACTCTTCAAAGAAAGTGTTTTGTTTCAGACTGCTGCACTGAGAGCTGTAGGAAACATTGTCACTGGTACCGATGAACAGACACAGGTAGTTCTGAATTGTGAAGCTCTTTCGCATTTTCCAGCACTTCTGACACATCCCAAAGAAAAAATAAATAAGGTAAGTAACTGCAGAGACTGCACCCAATTGATAACTTTATTGTATTTGGCTTAGCTGTTTTCGGTTGCACAGAACATAGTGTGGTAGAGATTGGAGTACTTGGCTACTTAGGCCAGTTTATGGCAAGAGCAGGCAGGGTGCTGAAGTTTTTCTTGAAGTTAATATCCGTAGAAAAATCTCTTAAGGAGCTGCAAACTTGTACTTGACAAGAATGTTGTTTCCTGATTCTTCTAATTGAATTTTTACAGAATTAAAGCTTTATCTTCTAGTTCTGGCTGTTGACTTAAAAGTTGGAGTTCTTGATATGTGAAATGGCGCTTTAATTAAACTGACTCTCTTGGAAGTGATGAAATAGAGATAATTGGATGTCTCTCTGAATGGAGTGTGTGTGATAAATGGAATTTAGTCAGACTGGGGGTGGGGTGTGGGGAGCGTGTGTGCGTGCATGTATAGAAAAGGCTTTAAATGGGGGCACTGATGGTGCGGTGCTGATTCCGGAGTGCATCTGAGGCATGTTGTTCAGTTCTGGGGTGCCACTTCACAACATTGCCAATGATTAAAGCCCAAAACAAGCCCACCAAGACGAGCCTAGGCATCCTGAATCTCTAACAGGTTCATTAATGAAAGTGATCCTGTGATCTGATCTGAGAGACTCAGTTGAATGAAATGTGAGAATTTCTGAATCTCGTGTTGAGAGAAATATTTGTCTAAAAAGCTGCCATGCCAGATGAGAGGAGAAGGGAATTGAGGAGTGATGGGGAGGGTTTCTAGGAAGGGAGAAATTTCTCAACTATAAGATTAAAAAGAAAAAAAGTTGATACTCTGAATGTACTTAAAATTTTATGTGAAACTGTGTTCACTATTTCTTGACTTAAAGTATAGATTCCCACTTAAAAAGGGGAGTGGAGGGCTCTTGGTCCTTGTTGAACATAAGAATCCAGATACAGTCTTTGGCTTAGTTCAAAATTTCAGCTGTTCAGGACTGGGGGGGCCTACTGGGGAAAAGATCCCTTCTCACACACTTTCCTAGGCACCCTCTGTTGCTTATTGCTGGAAGGAGAATGCCCTGGGCTTATGGACAGAATGATCATAAAGGGTCATATAATGCTATGGTATTCTTGAAAAGCAAGCATTGCAGTAGTAGGTGTTGCATTTTCTTGATGATTGATGCTGAGAAACGTTATGAAGCAGGTAACTCTCTCTGCTAACATACTCTGCTCTGGTGAGACCTCACCCAGAGCCCTGCGCCCAGCTCTGGGCCCTCAGCACAGGACACGGAGCTGCTGGAGCGGGGCCAGAGGAGGCCACAGAAATGCCCCGAGGGCCGGAGCCCCTCTGCTGCGGGGCCAGGCTGGGGGAGCTGGGGGTGCTCA